AAAGTAATCATCAGTAATGTGAATATAAGTGAACAAGTAAAAGGCAAATAATAGAACAGCTAACAGTCTGGTAAGTTCAGACAATGACATCACTTAATGCCGCCTTTAAAATCAGAAAAGCTGTTGCCATATCCGGATATCCAAAATCTAAGACAATATAGTCTCATATCATGATATCAATATAATATTGATAAATTACCAATCTTAACTCATTCTTAACTTTACAAAGCCGTTAACCAATATAATGACACATTTCATTGTTGTTTTATCACTATCAAAGCTCCAATCATTTTGAAACCTGCAAAAGTTGACCTGGCCCCTCCAGACATGTTTTAGTGCATATTAACAGGTGTAAACAGTAAAAGTAATAATGGCTGAGTTCCATTTAGCGGCTTCAGTTTCAGACTGTGAGACTAGAGCCATTGTTATAATATTTAGCAAGACGAGTCAAAATGTCTCCTGAGAAAAACACTCACCCCTTAAAGCTTGTAAGTGTTTGATGTTTCATATCAAACAGTACAAGATAGATGAGAGAAAGAAAGATCTGTATACAATTCCCTACGCAGCAGCTAGCTATAGGCTAGCTATAGGTATAGCTAGCTGCTGGGAACAGATATGGATTTTACTATCCGATTTTTGAGTGAGCAGTTCCTCCTGGAGGACAAGACTATTAAGACTATTCTATGAAAATCAAAACAAGAACGCCAGCACCAAACAACAGACGAAGTTTGCAACTATCTGGTGAAGATAGTGGAGCATTTAGCAGCTAAAAAGCCATATCTGTCTCTCAGGAGTTGGTGGAGCCCAAAACAGAGCTAAAAGGAGAGGTAATTACAAGCAGGCTGTTCTCATACACCGTTCGTAGCTATACCGACTAAAAAAAGCACATAGTGATTCGTATATATAGCCCACAAAATCAAGTTGTATGTATTCCGTGTAATCGTGACTAAGGAAGTAAAAAGAGCGACAAACACCATGCAGATAGGAGGTCGGGTGGATGGGTGGGTAAAACGCTTGACTTTTGTCCAGGAGGCCACTGTTCATGTCAGTTGTGTTACCAGAAATCATGTTGATTTATTTGTCTTGTAACTTCCATTCTTACTTCTGTACTTATTTTAACCCAAAACACAACCTTTACCTGAACCTAAGTAAGTAGTTTTGTTGTCTACACCTAACCCAGTTGGTTCCCATGAAGACAGAAGTTCATTTTGAAGAGACAAAATGAACATGTGTTGCTGGCCGTTCGTAGGACAATGCACAGAAAATTAAGAATAGCTTTCATTAAGATGTCATACGAACCATTATATGAAGAAACACGTTGTTACACGTCAAAGTTAGGCAGGAGCTTTTATTACAAGCATTCATCTTGTTGCTCAGGGCCTGAACGACCGCTTCGCCATGTTCATCGATAAAGTCCGGCATCTGGAGCAGCAGAACAAGATGCTGGAGATGGAGCTGGTGACGCTGCGGCAGAAGCAGGGCGAGCCATCCCGCGTTGCCCACCTCTACCAGCAGGAGCTGAGGGACCTGCGGACGCAGGTGGAGGAGCTGAGCAGGGACAAGAACCGCATCCTGATCGAGAGGAACAACATGGAGGATGAGCTGCAGGTAAAACCACAGGGTAGTGAAGGGTGAGGAAATTGATTGGTTACTTTTCCTTGCTAGCCCCTCTCATCTCCCATCCTCTCATGTCTCATTTCAGAAGCTCAGTGGGAAGTGCGACGAGGAGATGAGGGCACGCGAGGAAGCCGAGCAGACCCTGAGGTCCTTCAGGAAGGACGTGGACGACGCCACGGCCGTCCGCCTGGACCTGGAGCGCCGCTTGGAGTCGCTGATGGACGAGATCGCCTTCCTGAGGAAAGTGCACGACGAGGAGATCCAGGAGCTGAGCTGCATGATGGAGGAGCAGCACGTCACCGTGGAGCTGGAGCTCGCCAAGCCGGACCTCACCTCGGCCCTAAAGGAGATCCGCAGCCAGTACGAGTCCATCGCCTCCAAAAACATGCAGTCGGCCGAGGAGTGGTACAAGAGCAAGTTCGTCAGCCTCAGCGAGCAGGCCACCAGGAGCAACGAGGCCATGAGGGCCAGCAGAGAGGAGATCAGCGAGTCCAGGAGGCAGCTGCAATCCAAGACCATTGAGATAGAGAGCCTGAGGAGCGCCAATGAGTCTATGGAGAGGCAGATCTCAGAGATGGAAGACGCACACGGCGTTGAAGCCACGGCCATGCAGGTAAGCAATCATAGTCATCAGCACTACTGTATCGTAGTCCTTTTAAAGTTCTACAAGGAACGTTCATTTTGTGTTGATTTTGTCGGTCCCTGTGGATGAAAGTGGAAGTGCTTTCCGAGAACCTGATTTCTGACCCACACCAATACAATGGAGGTGAATGGAACTTCCTTTGGGTGTTCATAGCATTGAAAAATTATTTTCTTTTTCTTCCCAGAAACAGTGTTTCACATACTGTTGCTAATCCACCGAACGAACAACAACAGTTTTTAGGGACTATTTCTTTGATAGAAAGTAGTTCCATGGGCAAATAAACCTGAGCAAATACAAAAAAGGTGTAGTAAAAACAATATATATATAATTTGTGTCAAGTAACTCTTTAATATTTGACTTAACATTTTAAATGAGCATAACACAAAATAATCTTACGTATAAATACACCAAAATCTCATAGTATACGAAGTTGCTGTGACAGAATCATACTCTAGAAATACACCATCCATTTACAGTATATGCATCCATAAAACTATTTTTAAAAAGTGATGTAATGATTTATGTATGGGCCTACAGATAATGGCTAAAGTGAAATCAAATCCATGCAGTTTTTTATGCCTTCTCACCTGCAACAGCTTTGGCCGTAAATTATGTTGTCCATCAGTCTGTCCCACATGTGAACGAGTTATATCAGGAATGCCATGACGGCTTTTCTTAAAATTTGCCTCAAAAGTCCACAAGGATGAACTGATACAATTTTGGTACATAACTCATTGTATTACATAAGTATTGATATGCTAATTATGACAATATCACACAAATGTCTAATGAGAAAAATGATGAAGTGATGATGATGATGGACAGACATGGATGTAAACTGCAACTTGACCGGTTGGCAGAGGCATTCAACCTCTAGGTGGTAATTCTAGTTGAGCATTGAGACAGAGAAATATACCGTCCTTGGGAATTGAGACATTACACATGACAAATACTAGACTTCCTTAGCACTAGAATTGTAAAATTGTCAAAGTAGAACCTCCTCCTATTAAAATGTGCATTTACCTGCTGAAGCACTGCTGGCACAGTCTGCGTGGTGGACATTACTGTCAACAAATCTGAATAATAGGATTGGAAGGGAGCAAATCTCGGGGTCAAGTTCCTCATGAATTATGTCACAGCCGGAGTAAAGCTGTTAGCTAACTGCACACAGCAGAAGGGCCCAACCTTCATATGTCAAGGACTGAGTCCAGGCGAGGAATCCAGTGTGCTTACCATCTCAGAATTCAAAGCAATCATTCATGCCAGTGTTATTAGCCATGGGGGAAAAAGGTTTTGAAAAATCCACCTGACGTTGATGATAAAACCTCCAGAAGTCACTTTATTATAGCATATAACCTTACCTCAAAACCACAGCATTGTACTTTGGTTCTTTGAACAAATTAAATGAGATATAGCAACAGTTTGTGAAATAGTCACAAAATGCAATTTATTCGTTTTGTGTACAGGAACATGAATTGTCAGGGTTTTTTGTGTCGATGGGATGACATTACGTTACAAAAATAAAAGTTAGGTTTAGGAAACAAAACAAAATCTCTTTGGGACAAGCGGCATCTTGCACCGATCTCATGGTTAAGGCTGTTCTTATCCAGCGTTCGTAGCTATACCTTCATAGATATCCCACAAAACCAAATTGTACGTAATCCACGTAATCATGAACAAGACTGGAAATGCCCACATAGGGTGGGCAGGTCTGGAGTTGGATGGGTTAAACAAAAAACCTTTCACCAGGAGGCCGCTGTGTGAAACGAGAACCGTTTTATGGTTGAAAGTCCCCTCCCATGTTTTTTCTTTATATTTAATTCTACGTCACAACCTCTGAGCATTGCATCGTCACGTGGATGCATTTAAGTTGTGCGTCCACCACGAAAAAGGATCCTAACTGACTTTCCATTGGCATTGTTTTCGTCTTGAGCGACACCAAAGTAACGGACAAATCGTGTCCATCTACACGAAACCGAAAGATTACATTTGGAAAAAAAATGTCATGACCTGCAATAATACTGGGCTGGATTTATTGCGTTAATTAGTGAGCTTTAGAGTTGCAGGTTTGGACAGAGCCAAGCTAACTGTTTCACACTGCTGCCATTCTTTGTGCTAAACTACGCTAACTGGCTGTAGCTTCACATTCAACCAACAGACATGAGAATGGTATCAATCTTCTCATCTAACCCTCGGCGAGAAATATATTTGGCAAAATGGCGAACTTCCCTTTACTATTCCTCAGGTTACAGCTTATAACGCCGTCCCAGCCGCCAGCGTCGCCGTGTTAGTGTAGCGCCCCCTCAGGTAAACACCATTAGCTCTGTCAGTACGTAGTTTGTGCTGTTAGCACGATTAGCACGATCATGTTGAGAGCCGTTTAGAGGCAACAGAAATAGAACACTTTTGTGTCAAGATCGTCTAATTCAGGTTCAAGGTCTGCAGTCAGAACACAACCTTTTTTAGTGTGCGGGAGTCGCTTCAGCAAGCCTGTGAGACTGACTGAAACAGTTCTTAGCCAATTGACCCTGCGTGTCTATTAGATTAACCTCTGACCTGCTAAATCGGATACAGGAAGGCCTTAGAGATGCTACAGCTAATCCCCAAAGGTTTTGCATTCCAAAAGGAAATGGCCAACAGTTATACCACAACAAAAGCCTGTATCGTAGTAGATTAAAAACAGTCTGGATACAGCACATGCTAAGTGAGTGAATGTGTTTGGCATTGCTGATAATCCCCCTCCTTTTCTTGTTTCCTATTTAACAGGACACTATCGGCCACCTGGATACTGAGCTGAGGAACCTGAAGGGTGAGATGGCCGAGCACCTGAGGGAGTACCAAGACCTACTCAATGTTAAGATGGCCCTGGACATAGAGATCGCTGCCTACAGGTGCTGATCTGCACCCAAAGATCTCTTTAACTTAGTTCAGATTCTCGTAGCGCATTGTGAGGTACATTGAGTCTGTGTGTGTCCGGTCTGACATTTCTTTGCTTTGGTCCCAAACGAGGAAACTGCTGGAAGGGGAGGAGACTCACTTTAACTCGGGGATGTCGTTCGGTGCTGCCGGCTACGGCTACCAGCCCCGGGCCTCGGCCAACTCCTCCCGGGGCAGCCAGAGGGAGAAAGACGGGGTCATGAAGGAGAGCTTCAAGGAGAGCAGCGAGGAGAAAGATGAGGCAGACATCAACTCCAACAACTGAAGGAAGATAGACAGGCAGATGTGGTCATGTGCGGTGTCTGCATAGTGAGTTCATAGTCGCATGCTGTATTTAAGGACAACGCATTTTGGAATTGGAGCCAAAAGTCAATATTTTGGGGGTGATAATCAATGCCTTGTTCTTCCTGGAGCATGTGTGTCAGTCTTTAGAGGATCTTCGGAATCTAAAACGAGGAGTTTGTCAGCATTACAAAGTTGTAAATGTTCAACTCTAAAAAAAGAAATCTAACATGAAAATTTTGACCAAATGTCCTGTGCATCTCCAGAGGAAATGGATCATGTCGAACCAATTAGGACATTATTAAATATGCGACGAGAAATTGAAAGTTCTGGGGACGAATTTTACTGACATGTGAGAGAAAGAAAAAAAGATAGAGACTTGAATGTTAGCGTAGTTCCACGTGTCTGTTGTTGCAGCATCTTTTCATGTTGTGCTATGACGTTGAACTTAAAGAGGTAAACTGCAATGTGAATAGCAACAGTCTCCTTATAATTAATAAAGCACTTCAGGGTGTGTGGAGGATGACCGTGCGTTGCATTTCGTGGTTGCATGACATTACAAAGTTTAGATGTGCTCTGCGTTGCTAACATAACCGCTGCAGTATTCTGTGTTGTAATAGCCATCGTGGTTTATTACCATGTTACACACTGTAAAGCATTAGCTGTGAAAAATATTCAGTACATGTTAGTCCAACTAGCTGCAGTGTCAATGTATACACCTACTGAAAAAATAAATACTTGCTGTTGTTTCAGTTGAGATGAATAAAGTCAGATGACTGACTAATGGTTTTCTCTGCTTTTATTATACAAATCCATGTATTCACAACTACAGGACGTTCTCTGATGTTTCACACAAGCACCAGATAGAAACAGAGAATTTTAAAAAACCGCATATTGCATCAAATACTTGTTATTCAGTGTCAAGACGAGTAAAGTCATTGCTAAAATGCTCCTTAATACTTTCTCGTATAGCTTGCATGCTTATAAAATAATTTAGTGTAAAGTATCTTTGTAACTCACACTAAGATGAGGGTGCAGAAACTTTAAAAGCACTTTCACCAAAAATGGATTATTTATTTATATATATATATATATATAAATAAATAAAAAATGTGTCTGCATGATTGACCTGAGGTTGTAGCTACTGGTAGTTTTAGACATCAGCAGAGAAGAGAGATAAAGAGGCAGTTTGTGTAACTATATCTAATATTTTCAAAGATGATAAACCTTACGTGCATAATTCTACTGGTTTCCTGACTTCTGTATCAAATCCAAGGATTTGCAGCACTTTGAGCCGCTCGCTAACCACTTCTACTGAAAGGAAATATTTGGCCTTTGAAATGAAGAATTAATTAATTGTAAAAACTTATTAAACAAGTACATAAGTGCTCGTAGACTGAACAATTTAGTCACTGTTGAGCAATTATGTACATTTTCTGTATGCTGGTAATAAATATTGTAGGCTTGAACACAAAACAGGAAACATTTACCAGTCATTTATTAATTCATTCTGACAAAAGCAAGTAGGAGGTATTTTTAAAAAAACATATCAAAGATTATACAAAACTACTTTTGTCATCCGGTGAGAATCAAGAAGACAGCCTGTACAAAAGCTTTTTAAATTAATGAGCAAATCAACAAGAAGCACGTTGTAATTAAAAACAGAGTGTAGATCTGAACTCCATATCTCTCTCTCACACACACACACACACACACACACACACACACACACACACACACAC